ACTGTCTACTATCTATTAATAATGTCCATTTCATGTGTTGCCTTCTAATGGTCAAGCTATTTTACGGTAACAGAGCACTTTTGACACGTTCGGTTATTTTCAAAATAATAGTCATGATTCAATCTTAAAACATTTGCGTGACCTGAAGTTGTTTAAGAAACAGTCATTATCTTGTACCTGACAGCATGAGTTTGAAAGTTATGAGCACCGCATCAATCGTTTATCTCTGGTATGATAAACGAGATAACAGTCGTTGTATTCATCATAGAAAGTAAAGGCTTCACTTCTGCTTTCTAGTCATACAAGAGTATTATCATGGAGTTCTGTATTTATGAAATCTAGTGCGAATTTAGAATGTGTCCTTCATCGTATAATCCTTCTGTGACTCAAGTGACCTTCCAAATAGAATTTGTCAAAAATAATTCTATCACAAGTAATAAATTTTCAAGTTATTACATCATCATTTGCCCATAAAGCCAAGTACATGAGTAGTATGTCTGTTCACTTCATTTTAATAAGCCATAATCACATTCTGGGGAGGATTTTGAAATTATGGTGCTCAAGGACAAGAAAGCAAAGGAAAAATAAGTTCATGCTGGAAGAAAACGGAAATTTTCAAAATCTGTGGATGCTTTGGCACCCACAGCTCTCATGATTCCGTCGCCTCTGTGAGAAGTGACGACCTCATGAATATGGGTCTTTAATATTAGCACGAATATCAATATAATCAACAAATATTACACTGTATCACATCACTCGTCCAGCTTTGATAAACAAATTGTATTTTGACATATTAAAACATGAAGACCATGCGTAGTCTACGATTTAAAAAGGGAGCATTAGAGGTTATAAACTACAGCATTAAGTTAAGTTTAGTCATATGAAATAGAAATAGAGATAATTAAGCCGAAATAGAGACGTATTAATATTACTCAGTCGATCTCCCAGACTTTGCTTCGACTGTTGCAAAATGTAGACTTCCCTAGTGGATGTACTCAAGTGTGAGTACTCAGAGGGCTGAAAAAATGCGAGGAGTACACATGAGTACTGACAGATTCTTTTACTCATTGAGTACCCACATGAGTACTCATGAGTGAGTATTGTTGAGTGCTTATATAATTTTTGACAAAATGCTCATGAGTATTGTTCATCTAGCGTTTTCATATAGAGGAGCGATCTCAGGCAACCAGAGTTGGACTACAAGTCTAGTCATAGACGAGTCCATCCCTGACTATATACAGAGAGACCAGTGAGGAAATAATAATATAAACATTCTGTGTTTCTTTACTAAATTCTATAGTTCTTTATACAGTTTCATTTTAGCAAAATAAAACAACAATATTTTCTGAGTACTCACTGAGTAACAATACTCAAAAATTGTTAGTAGAATTCATATGAGTTCTAGACGAATTATGAGTAAAGTCGTATTCATAGTATGAGTACTTTCACTATGGTTACTCTTTCTGATGGTTATCTTAAGGTGTTACCTCAAACAGAGGCTGTGTTCAAAAGATTTTCACTGATCGATGTCGTGTTTATCTCGCCTACTAAAGTAAATTAAAGTTTGATTTTCTTCGTGACTACGACTGGACCATGGCCCAACGCGATCGGCGCATTGGTATAATACAAATTTTTTTTGAGTGTTCGGTCTAAAGCCTTTCCTTCACCTACCAAAACTGGATTCCGAAAATGCCTTTTTCGTATTGAAAAGTTGAGTATTAATATAGGAAACGGCAAAAAACGAGCCCTATTTTATTGATTTTTCACTGGTTTCGAAAAACTGAATTTCTCGGCAACAACACATATATATGAATACTTAACTTTTTCCCACACGTATCGTGGTCAGAATGAGGTAAAAGAAAGAATTTTATATCCAAAATCGTTGGACTAGATAGGTTCGTAAAATTGACCGACAGCACCCTTACCATTCTACTTGTGTTTCGCAGATTCTAAATCCATTTCAGCTTCTAAAATTTCAAAAATTGGCTTTCCGGACTCAGTTTCCGATGATAAATAAGAAAAAAATTGTGTTAGAATCTCGAAAGGCGGTCAGAGATAAAAACTTTGCTTTTCTTTGAAAATTTCACTGTTTTTCCCTACAGTTCAAAAGATGCTCTATCTGATGGCATGAAAGATTTTTTTCATACCTTATGCAGCCTGGAAAAATAGCTGTCGAAAAATTAGCTGCAAAATCATGACATCTACAGGAAACTCAAATTTTTATAAAAACCAGTAAAGTGACAACCGGAAACAATATATATTATAAATTTACATGATGCTCGCTATCGATTAATAAAAAAAGTGTTTAGTGATGGCTGATGCTTCCCGGGGAAAAGAAAACAATTTTTCCACAGTAATTTTCCGAACAACCATATTGCTAAAATTCGCTCCCCCTTCACGTCCTACTTTGGAATGCAGGAATGCACCCAAACTTTTCCAGAATGTTCCCCCATATGTCCTCTATCATCACAGATAGCATGAATTAGCATAAATGTTCCTGGGCCGTACAATAGGTTTTCAAGAAAACCTTGGTGTTTTAGGTATTTTCCTTTTTCTCGGCTCAGAAGCACTTTTATTCAAAAATAAGGTCATATTTGAAATCAGCGCACTGAACTGCATCGAATAGTTTAAAATGCAATCTAATTTTCGAGGAAAAAACTTTTCGACGAAATGGGCAAAGGTATTTTGGACTGAAAAAACTTTTTTTGGAATTTGTTTGTTTTTGATTGATATGAGTTTCTGGGTGCTCGGAAGTCATTTTTATGTGAAAAGAGAGGGTTCCAGACAATAAAAATTACATGTCGGTCTGCTCTGTAGAAAATGCACACTATGCGATCAGATTCGCAGTAGTAGAATGACCATTCGGAACGCAGTATAAGTCTGAACGATGATAGAAAAACTCACGCGTATCCAGATGCTTTTCTTTTGACGGTATTAAAATCTTGTGAGCTACTAACACTCCGTAATGATAAGTTGCATCAAAGAGCGCGAATTTTGTAGGATAACCTCGACTTTTTAAATCACGATTAATCTCAATCGCGATTGTAATAACTTTTTAATCACGGTTAAGAAGTTAACCCGGATTAAGCCCACGATGACACTTAATCGTAGTGAAGCCAATCATGATTCAGAGCGTAGGGTAGCTTGTGTAGCAAAGTCTTCGTCTCAAACATTTGAATAGTGCTTAAGGCCAGAGTTGTAACGGGAAACGGCCAAACCGTTCCGTTAGCTCTAAACGAAAGTTGTAAAGCTTTTCTTGAATAAAATTAGTCTTTTACGACGAAAGAACGGAAAATTTAGAACCGTTCCCGTGCTGAGAATGTTGAAACGGTCAGTTCTCTGCACTAGCCCTAACAACTCTAAGCTATGGCTATTAAATGAGAAGCTTAGTGGTTTTATTTCAACGGTGAAACGACTTTTTTCAAATTCCATCTAACCATAAAAACGGTGCTGATGCCCGACAGTGAATAATGTACACCTTTGTTTTTAATACTACCAGTCGATAGACTACACATCAGAGTATTCGTGCAGTGCGGAGTCATGACTTATATCCCGAACGGGATATTTATCCCGATTGGCCTATGCGATTATCTCGATTGGGCTACAAATCCCGATCGGGATATAAGCAAAATTCGAACCGGGATATATATCCGGTTCGGGATATCGTTGTATCCCTATCCGGCTATATTACTAAACATGTTCAAACAAGTATTGAAAGTAAATATGATCATCCGCTGATTGTCTTAAGTGAGGCTTAAAAGTCTTGGGTGAAAAGTTAAAAGTTTTTAGTGAAAAAATTATTTTGCCTTCGGTACCTGGCAACCTCTTATTTTTTCACATATCAGGTACACTGCCTAGAAAGCCAATTCGTAAAAACCCCCATATATCAAAGATGCAGCAAAGGCTTCTCTACAAAATGCTGAAAACTGCAGGTCTCTATCTCTCTTCATTCTGGAGTTATTCAAACAATAGCCACGGACACTATATTCTGAAATGGATAGTAGGTTATCATCATCCGATACTTTGGAGACCCCCATGGATTCATATGCAGTTTTGAGTACTCTGTCCGATGGCGGTTTTGGATTTCAGTAATCAGCTTTTATTTTTTTCCAAAACGAAAGTTTTTTAAAAAAGATCAAAAACAGCCCGTTCCGGATATATTTTATATCCCGATCAAAATACGCGATTTTTGATCGAGTTTTTATGCAGTATCCCAAACGATGCATATAGCCGATCCCCATGGAATCTGAATCGGTTTTGAATCCTCTTTCGAATGGCACTGTCCTTTTTTTATTTGGTTGTTAAGCGGAGGCCAGAGCAATGATTGATTGATTATATAGACCGATCAGGCTACACAAATTATCCCGATCGGGATTTATAGCCCAATCGGGATAATCGTATAGGCCGATCGGGATTTTATCCTGATTGGGATATAAGTCATGACTCCGCACTGTCATGCTGGAAAACCTCCATTGCAGCGTTCGTGGTCGCAAAGAAAATCAAACTTGAATATTGTCATCAATTAAGGGTAACCATTTTTCAATAAGATTTATTGTAATGTAGCGGAACTAGGCATGCACCGGTTTCGGTTAAACCGGTGTATGCCTAAGCTGAACTTCATTGTGCATTAGAAATAAAAAGTATATAGAAACGTTCTTATTTGTTTGTAGTGACATTTCGATCCATTTATTCAGCAATTTCAAATTAGTTTATGTTTGAAAATGAGTGGGTCGACATATGACTACATATAAATACGAACTTTTCGATATACTTTTTTGTTTCTAATAAACAATGAAGTTAAGCTCAGCTATATTACAACAAATGGTATTTAAACTTTAATTTACCTTAGCAGGCAAGATATACGCGACACCTATCAGTAAAAATTTATTGAACCCAGCCAGCAATCTCGGTCGTGTTGGCTGGGGTATAGTGGCTAATTGGTATATAGAAAGATATCCATAATATAGTAACAAACAATTTTATTAAAATAAAACAATGATTTACATTTCTGTTCCTTCGAATGAATAGTATGTATCATAAATAGCTGATGGGGGATGTTTTCTATCATTATATTGAATTCTTGTTTGTGCAATTTTTGTTTCTGGTGGTAAACTCGATTTAGTGGATAAAGTCACTGATGATGTCGGTGTATTAGTCGTTAAAGTTGTTGCTATGTCAGAGTTGGTATGAAATGATGACTGTTGTTGTTTCATTAATGGATCATTATAATTATCATGTTTATTTACAGATAATTTATTTTTCATTTGTCTTCGACGGTAATAATTAAAAAGAACGAATATAAGAGGTAAAACGAATATAAGTATTAAACATACACAAACTATAGAAAAATAGAATAACGATGAATAGGGATCAGTTATGACTAGAGATGATGATGTTTTGAGTGCATTCAAATAATCACTGGCATTTGTCGAATTATCATGTATCAAAAATGTTAGTGTATAAAAGGTCATCAGTGGCAACGGAAGGCCTTGATCACATAAACGAATATCAAGAGTACCGTATAATATCGATGATATTTCATTTTTCAAAGATAACTGTCCAGATGTTCTATTTAGTACAAAGTTTGACGATAATGTTCCACCAATGATTGAATAATCAATTACATTGTTAGGTATTTCACTGTCAATATCTCGAGCGTATAACTGAAATGATTTTAAATGATGATTTTGATCGATAATAAGAATATCAGAGGACGATGGATCAAAAAGAAGAGGTTTGTTGTCATTGCGGTCGAGTATATGAATATTTAAAGTACATCTTGAACACAATTGTTCGGGCTTTCCATGATCACAGGCAACAATCACAGTTGATAAAAATTCAATTTCTTCACGATCAATTACATTTGCTAAAGAAATAAAGGCAATTTGACGATACTATGTAATTCGTAAAGAATAATGTGCTAGCTTTTTTACTACAAAGTATCTTCTAGGCTGTCTATCTAATGGAGCTACACAACTGTTTTTAATCACCTGTTGCTGTTATTATTCCATGAGTTGAATTGATATCTATTAACATTGTTTTGTTTTGAATGTGATATGTAATTATTCCATTTTCACCTTGATCGGCATCATAAGCTTGTACCTGAGTTATAAATTCATTTTGTTGAAGGTTTTCGTACATGTCAATATTCAATATTGATGATGAAAACAAGGGAACGCAATCATTTAAATCCAAAACGAGAATAACCAATGTTGTACAGGAGTGAAGAGACAAGGATTGACCTTGATCATTTACACATATTTCATATGAATAAATAGAAATATTTTCACGATCAAGTTTTGTTAAAACAACTAATTCACCGGTTGTATCATTTAATGAAAAATGAGAAATAATATCTACAAAAAAATTGTTATTAAGTAATAAAAGAAGAAAGAAACGTTCAATTTTACTTACTACTAATGTTTTTAAAATTAGTTTGCACCAGTTTCATGGTATATTTTACATTTCCATTATCACCCATATCTGGATCATTTGCTTTGAATGTATAAACATGTTTTGGATATAAATTATTTTCCGTTACTGTTATTTCATAGTTATTTTGTTCAAAACGCGGTTCACTATCATTCTCATCTAATATAATAATCGTTACACTAGTCATTGTTCTTGTATCATTATTTACAATAAATTCTAATTTGATCGTATTTCCTAATTCTTCTCGATCAAACGGTCTTTCTAATTTTAAATCATACGACTGATCATCAATCTTTTTTAATTTAAAATAGTCATCAGTCTTAGGTGAACTTGACATGATAAGTGTGAATGAATTTGACGTAGAAGTACCATCTGGATCATAACAATAGAGTTGTAAGAGAGACAATGGAACAGGAGAATTTTCTATCACTTGTAATTCTGTTGATTTACTTGAACGTAATAATTTGGGTATTGATATTTGAATAATGGGAGAATTATCGTCAACATTAATAATATCAATATCGACATAAGCATACGATGATAATGAATTAAGATCATGTGCTTCGATAGTTAGACGATAATACGATCGACGTTCATAATCAATAGATGATTTTAAACGAATTTCACCTAAAATCATTCAAAAATTATAGGATAGTTAATTGTAGAATCAGACATGTGTGCCGATGAAAACTATTCGGTGGCAGTGAGTGGTGTGAGACTGAAAAAATTTATAACCGCTGGCGAAAATATTTTTTCTTTTCCCAAGCTATTATTATTAGCTGATATCATTTGTCCAGCCATCTGTGGTAACGTACAAGGAAATATTAAGATTGCAATGCGATTGAGGGAACAGCGGAAAAGATGAGTATGGAGTTCTGTAACTAAAAGACACGAGGCGTTTTTTCGATAATCTCAGTCGACGACTGAGGAAAAAACATCTCGTCCGCGGTGGCGACATGATTTTTTCAGGAATTTTGCTGCCCTCGGCGACATCGGTGCACATGTTTATGTGTAATTTTTTTATATTGCGTACCTGTCAATTTGTTCATTGTAAATGTTGCACGTGTTTCTTCATCATCTGTTGGACTTATTGAATACGTAATTTTATCATTTGTATCAAGATCGGTTGCATAAACAAATCCCACAATCGTTGATATATTTGAATTTTCGAGTATTTGAAAACGATAAGTTAATTGTGTAAATCGTGGTGGTGTATCATTAACATCTAATACTTGTATTTTTAAAATTGTTTCATCATATTGATGATCACCATCTTCAGCTCTTAAAATACCAAAATAAGATTTCATGTTACTCTCATAATCTAACTCTTCACGAACGACTAATGTTAACAGATGATGAATACGATCAAAATCCAATTCGAATGGAAATGATGATGAGGATGACCAACGTTTTTGACGAGATATAAGAGAATCTAAATCTTGAAGAAAAAAAAATATTTTAATACAAGTATGTTTGAAATTGAAATGTTTCTCTTTGACTTACTTTTAAAACTTTGTTCAAACTCTTGTTTATTCAATATCTGTAGAGTATAATTAAGAATAGAATGAAATCCTGTATCTAAATCTTGTGCTTGTTCTAATTGTATCCTGTAGCCAACAGGTACACTTTCTGGTATTTGTATTAGATAATAATTCTTTTGAAACTGAGGCATATGATCGTTTAAATCCTGCAATTCTACATTTAACTGAATTATTGTTGTATCTCCTTTACTTCTTGCTAATATATCACATTTAAGTTGACATTTTGAACATGTACACACACGTTTAATACCACACAAATATTCACGATCATATTTCTCGCTAAATAACAGTTGACCAGTCGTTGTTTTCAAATAAAAATATGGACAAGGACGTAAAAATTTGAAATCGATAAGAGTTTTATTGCGCTGATTAAATTCATGTGATAAATCGTAGAGTAGACTGTCTTTTGGTTGTTCTTCCGGTATGGTGATGTCGAATGATAATTTATTCAGACTAAAGATGGAATTGAAGAAGAATGAAATGAACATTGTCATAGAAAAGAAGAAGAATTGCGTCATCATTCGTAAAAATTGTTGTAAATAGTCAAACATTCATTTACATTTACATCTAAAACATAGTACAAAGAAACACAGATAAAAGTAAAAAGAAAATAAAACTATATATTTTATATTTTATGTAAAAAATACAAACAAAGTTGGCATCTTATCGGAAAATTTTATTTAATAAACTGAGTTAGATCAATTTATTTCGTAGAAAATTATTATGCAATGTAGAGAAAAATAATTCAAAATGTAATTTATTTATTTGAATCGTAGATGTGAAATCACAGCTAGTATCGTGTGATTTATACTAATAATAAGATATTTATCTATCTCAGTTAAGATATAATCAGTTTATGAATTTTTAAAAAAAAAAAGTCAAAAATAATAACAACAACACTTTCAATCCAAAAAGATCTAGTTTATTTCATTTTTCTTTTTATATAATAAATAATAAAATTATATTTTTATATTTCTCTTATGTTATCTCTCTCTATATGAACTCGAAACTATTACCTATAGACAGGTATCCATAATCTTAATAATAGAATTATTAATTTTCAGTTTATTATTAATATTATTTACTTACATGTTAATTTTTCAATTTTATTATCATCTATTTATCTTACATATTGTGATTATTATTACACGACAGTAGACTTGTCACAACACTTAACACTCATATATTTATTCTAAATATACATGTTTAAGAATTCTTAAACACATATATATATACAGTCACACTCGTTATAACAAAAAAAAAAAGTCAATTGTTCTGTTCATGTACACACATATATGTCTTTCTCTCTCTCTCTCTCTCTTTCTCTCTATTTCTGTGTGTCTCACTCATACGGGAATTGTTTAAGATATCATCACTATTAGAGAAAAAAAATACTCTTGAGAAAAGATAATAATTCGCTCACTAACATCCTATTCAATGAGGCACGCCAATATGGTAGATTTTGTATTCATATATAGAGTTATATTATCACTCCTGGAGATAAAAAGCTTAATTTGTCAAATCGACTATGTTGTGATCAGAATAGGAAAAAAAAAAGCTTAAAATCTTTTTTCTTTTTATCTCTCTTTTTCTCGTTCCATTCAATTTCGTTGTGGTAACCGAATCGTAGATGAACGATGTAAATGAAACAAAAAAATCGAGATTTTATTTATTTATATCGAACAAAAAAAAAAAAAAAAAAAAATAAGAAAACTTTTTATTAATATTATATTTCGATCATAGTAAAGAGTTTTTCTCTCTTATTCCACTCAATGTCTTATGAATACCAATTTCAAGAATCTTCATTTTGATGTCTTTTTTTTTTCTTCTTCTTCTATTTCCACTCGTTTTATAATACAACATAGAGAGAATATTTACATAGATGTGAGTTTGTCGTCTTCATTCTTTTTTTTGCCTCTTGTCAGAAAATTGAATTTTGAACATATTGTGTAAATGACAAAATGATAGGTTTATAATTGCATTTTTTTCCCTCTGTCAAGCATCATTCTTCAATGATCTGTTTGAATCTTCTCTATAAACAGATATACAATTTATTCTAATACTTGACTATTAGAAAAATGTTGAATATTATTAAAAAAAAAGAATATAGATTTTAACGTCAGGTATAGTTGAAGAGTTTCTTCATCTTTGATTATATTTTCCTAATTAAATCACAATCAAACTGAAGAGACTTTAATTCGTTTATTTTTTTATTAAAGTAATAAACAAGAGTTTTTTTATCAATATCATATAAAAATTCATCTCTGTTATTGATAACAATTGTTTTTTACTTTACAAATACTAATTGTTTACTACAGAATGATTTTTTTTTTCTTTTTTTACGAAAACTAATGATTTTAATTTTCAATCTATGTAAAAATCAATTTAAAACTCTTTATGTATAATGATAGTTTAAATGACACCGTTTTTTTTTTTTCTTCTTCTCTCTTTTGTCTCTAATCTTGTACAGTTAGTCTATTGAATCTAAAATTACGTCTTTTTAACTCTATTATAGTTTAGATCATATTGTTCTGATCAAATTTCATTTATGAATCGGAAGTACACTTGATAAAATTTCATGTTTTTTTTTAAATTGACTGTACTGTTCATGCATAGTTAATAATTTAAAAATGATAATTATATCGAACATGACTGACTGTCTCTCTAAAGCAGAAGTGATTGAATAAATGATGAATAGGAGTACTTTTTTTTTCATTTCTTCTTGGAAAAAGAAGAAGAAAAAAAAAAATTCCCGACTAAAATGATACAACGATGATATACAGATCTGGTTCCATCTCTCTTATAGACCTCCTGTTGTTTAATTGTACATAAGAGAAAGAGAGAGAGAGAGAGAGAGAGAGAGAGAGAGAGAGAGAGAGAGACAGACCTACACTCAACCTGGTTCATTAACTTAATCAAAATTAACTTGACATTATTTATCCACCCACCAATAACTGAGTAAAAACAATGATAGATGAAAATTAATTACACATTTACATACAATATGGTATAAGAAATAAATTGTTTTTGATATAAAGTATTCATGTAAAAATGTTCAATTTTATAAAAACAATAGTTTATTATAATTCTTAGAACAATATTCTTCTAAAATTTAAGTAAAATCTAAAGTTAAAAGATATATTTACACCATATATTTTAACAATATCGAAATTATTGTTAAATCACATAAAATACTTTCTTTTCTATTATTATTTCATGATGTATTTACTTCCGAAAGAAAAAAATAATTATGAAATATTAGTCATTTCTTCATTATCCTTTTAGAACCGTTAGCTATATGATGTTTTGAGAAGGAACACACCTTTCTTTGGCCTCATATTTGCATATTAAACGAAAATTTATATCAGCTTAGAAAAAAGAAAAAGGAGAAAACTCATTTTTCTACTTGAACTATTTTTATTTTTTAGGTTGTCTATTTCTATGTCTTAAAGCGGAAATATATAGAGAGAAGAAAGAAATAATATTATTTCCGATAACACTCACATTGAGAGATAGAGAATAAGAACTTCTTTCTACTTTAAAAGCAATATTAATTCGTTTTCTCTTTTATTTACAAAGATGGTTAACTTTTAAGATCTAAAATTTCTATCATCCCTTTCTCTCCTCACGAAACATCAACTATCGTTTTCCTCAAAAATGATACTGCTTCAAAATCTTATCAAAGAAGCATCTACCTGTAAAAAGCTAAAATATGAAACTACTCATAATGCGTTAAATTAGATAGTAATAGTGCTGAAGGAAATATGATCAATTTTAAAATTACTATGTTGAATAAAAACAAAAGAAATATTTAATGATGAAAAAGTAACTACAGTTTATTGTTTATGTCAATATTTTTTCTGTTGATTTAGCATGAGACGAAAAGATAAAAGGAGTAAGCCCATGGAAACGACTGATAAACTACTGCTACACAAAAGAGAACACGTTTTTGTCCACTCGAAAGAGAAGAACCAGTAGTCTATATGGACAGATGACGTGGACAGATGCATTTTTCTTGTTCAAAACGATTATTTTTAGTTCGGGTTGACTCTCCATAATTACCTCAGAATGCCTATTTCAACGACAAGGAAACAGTTTCAGAAAAAAAGATTTTTTAAGTTAAAACTGACAGAGGAAAATCTTGTCTGATTTTTTAATTCTAAAACTTTTTTTCTTGCTAAATTTTTTGCGTTACACATCATTCGATGCACATTCAGGAGCCAATTCCAAATATGGTAGTTTTATTTTGATTATAAGTGTTTTTTAAGATATAAAAAATTGGATTTTACTTGAACACATTGAGTTCTGGAAAACTGCCTATGTAATGTAGGAATGTCGACGCTGTTTGGCGGTAGTATTATCGATGTGATAGACCGTGGATAGACATGATCCTATTTTTGCAGCAACTGTAAGTTCTTTGTCTCCTACTCTAAATCACTGACTGAGCAAAAATACTTTAACGTGATAAATAGTCCAAACAGTAATGTGCTCTAAAAAATTTTATTTTCGATTGTTTGTGTGCGATTGCACAATGTGAGGTGAAACATCTACAAAAAATGTCAATTTTCGGATATAAACTTCAATTCTTCTATCATGTGTAAGCAAAAGTTTAATAAAAATTATTCTTTATTAATACAGAATAATCACTCTGACATTGGAAGAAAAAAAAATGAACTATGCTCTCTGATACATAACAGAGGTGGGCGATGGACTATCTTTAACTCCCTCGCGAGGATCGCCTCACAGACTTCCTGCCTCGTCATCGCCCCGTACCTCGTCAAGTTTCGAGAAATCTACTTCGCGGGGATCGCCCCGTAAGCT